GTGTGTGTGTGTGTGTGTATATATACACACACACACACACACACACACACACACACACACACACACACACACACACTAAAATGAATCATCTTAAAATAAAATCAACTCAAAAATTCTAATTACCAGCTGCATAAATCTAAAGAGTAATTCTTCTGAATGCAGCATTATAATAATAAATTCTGCTGCAGTTTATTAACTCCTTCAATTGAGTAACAAAACATTCCATATATATATATGCATTAGGGTGTACATTTTTAAAACCTTTCACATATTGTAAAGATCTGTCAGCTTTTTAGAGAGCAATGCTATGACAGCTGATGACTGGCAGCTGCAATGCACTTCAATAACATGCGCTAGCATTGGGGTGGCTAGCTAACTTCTAAACAAAAGATTTTCTTCTTAGCAGAGCCTTGTATTTAGATTTAATAGAAATGTATAATAAAAACTTACCGTTTAAAACTTTAGACCAGTTTTGTGCTGGAAAATATTCTGGTGAATGAGGAAACACTGAGAGTTCGGCTGGTTGCCGAACCAGCTGAGCAATCCGGGGTTATGTTAGCCAAACTATTGATTAAAACTAACGCCTGCAAACGTAAACACTGCTGTCGTCGCAATGACACGTAAAGTTTGTCCAAAGTGCAAAATAATACGGTTAAGTTACGAAAATAAGTTTAGTAGGAATTTTAAGCCCATTGTATACGCTCATTTGATAGGTGATTTTCTGCTCAAATCTCTCTCTCTCTCTCTCTCTGAATTCAAAAAAGCAAGCAAACATGAGAGCCTAACGCCGATTGGCTGAGAGTGAAGAGCTCGGCGGAAGTTCTGAAGCGACGCCTCTGATTGGCTTTTGAATTCAAACGGTGATGCACGCTTATGCTTATGCTCCATCCGTGATAGTGATAGAATGACTCAAACTTATTTCATTCAATTTCTTGTATTTAACATTATGAATAAAGCACAAGATACCGATTTAAATATAAAATTGCAATGTAATTCATAAAAACACAGCAAAGTTGCGAACTAAAAGACAATGTTAATCAATTAAACAATGAATATCATTGTTTTGCCTCAGACAAATTTATTTAATCCTCACAAACTTTACCATGCTAACCAAAGTTTTTATCCATATACATGTATTGTAGGCTATAAAGCCATTTATAATATAATATAAAATGTCATATGGGATTCCATTTGGTATTGTTGAAACTGTATTATAATATTATATATTATAATAGAATTTACTATTTTGGGGTCAATTTCACCTTTTTTTGGGGGGGGGGGGGGGGGTCTTTTTGGTATTTTAAAAGACTCAAATAATTTAAGAATTAAAGGGGATTTGACGGGATAAAGAAAGCAAAATAGGTCTACTGTAGTTGTAAAGTAAACTATTTGTAAAAATAATATTTTATTATTATTTAAAAATGCACACATTTATGTCTATAATGCAGAACATTTCTTCTCTCATCACATTCGTTATTAGATAACACATTATGAATCAGCCTATGATTCATGTAAATGACTGATAGCATATTTTCATAATGTTTTATCATCCTGACAACAAACAGAGCGGTGCATAATGGAGTGCAGCAAAGCAGCATCAGGACTATCAAAAATTGTCCATATTTGGAGGGGGGACTTGTCTCCATCAATGTTTATCGTGGTTATGGCCCTGATTATATTATACAAAGTTCAACACTTTATTTCGATAGTCCACTTTAGACATTCTACTATTATAAGTAACTTGTCGACTAACTCTCATTGGATTGTTAGTAGGCTGTAAAGTCACTGTTAGGTTATGGTTTGGTGTTAGGATAATTAGTATGTTGCCTTTGGCTTGCTCAGTTGGGGATATTCAAATTAATTAACCAATCAATAATACCCTTGATCAGCTTACCAAATGTGGATGTTTTTCCACTAAAGAACGAACATTTTTATTAAGTTTTGATTGAAACTGTGAAGCTGTTTTGATGCAATCTATATAGTGAAAAGTATATATATATATATATATATATATATATATATACTTGACTTGACATGGAGAATAAGTTGACTTGTAGTTGCTTATAGTCAGTAGAATGTCTTTAGGGGAGCATCACAATAAATATTTATCAGATATTAAGCAGACATTCAACATATAGTTGCAAAGTTACAAGTAGAATGTCAAAACACTATCGAAATAAAGTGTTTCCTTTTATTATAAAAAAAATATGCATCCACATGGGAAAATCGTATTTTTTTAATCCTATATGGTTTTACAGCAACTACAACTGTAGTAACAATTGTATTAAAAAAATACGGTAGGCTATAGTACATTTTTATATGGTTAATCAAACTAAAGACCATGTCTGAAAAAGTAGGTTATTTCCTTAGCATCAGAGCCGGACAGTAACAGAGTAAATGGTAAATGGACTGCATTTATATAGCGCCTTCATAGACCTAATGGCCACCAAAGCGCTTTACATTTGCCTCACATTCACCCATTCATACACTGATGGCGGTGTCAGCCATGCAAGGCGCCAGCCAGCTCGTCGGGAGCAGCTGGGGTTAGGTGTCTTGCTCATGGACACCTCGACACTTGGTCAGGTGGAACCGAGGATTGAACCACCAAACTTTCGGTTCGGACAACCCACATGAACCACTGAGCCACTGCCGCCCCAGTTTAAATGTACTCGTGTAAAGTACAATTTTGAAGGATCTGTACTCGAGTATCATTTTTTGGGGTGTAGCTACTCATGACTTTACTCAAGTACATTTGTTAGGGAAATGTTGTACTCTATACTCCCCTACCATTTCTATCCATAACCGTGAGTACGAGTTTCTATTTAAAAAAAAAATAAAAAATAAAATCAAAACCCTTAATTTAAGGAAATAAGGGAAACCCTTAATTTGCTTTTTCCCTCTCAAACGTGATTGGATTGTGCAGGCGCCACTGATTGGGACAGCCTATCAGCAATCACCTTCAGCTTTCCCCCAATGTCAACTCCATGGTCAGATTTAGAAGAGACGAAACCATGGACAAAACAATGGATAAAGACGCAGCAGGTCATCCCTTGAATGTGCCAACCCATGGCCTCACCCCGCCAGACTATTTCCATTTTCTGAATTTTCTGAAAATGTCTTAAATGTTAAATAAAGCAACATGGTTAAAAGATGAAAATGACTTGATTTTACTTTCAATTCCTTTTACGTTCTCCATATTAACATTTTTCAGAAGTCCATGTAGGACGGTTCTGTACATAAATGTAAGCACTGTGGCAGAGGTAATGCAATTTTTAGAAAATGTACTCTTGTACTCTTGATAAAAACAAGTACAATATCTGACTGTAGTACTTTTACTTGTACTCGAGTAAAATTTAGCAAAGGGTATCAGTACTTTTACTCAAGTAAGAAAGCTGTGTACTCTGTCCGCCTCTGCTTAGCATTCACTCATATCTCAAATGTGAACTCTTTTGTCCGAAAGATTAAAACCTATCATCCTCTATACTGTCCTGGTGTGATCCTGCCCCATTATCAGCCTTTTAAATGCCCTCCGCTCATCCAAAAGAGCAGCCCCTTTCCTGCTGACAGAAGTCTCATTCTTTCTTCTGCCCGGCCTAGTTTCGGGCAGGAACGACTCCAGGTAAATAGTCTGCCAGAAGTCTTCAAAATCTTTAGACACCTGAAGCCAAAGTGAAGGCTGCCGGAGTGCTCTTTTTTTTAAATTCGGTTTCAAGGCTTTTGTCACATCCCTCTGGGTCTTTGTGTCCCGCACTCGCCACTCGCTCCTGCTGCCCCTCAGGAGTTTGTGAGGAGTTTGAAAGCCTCCTCTGTAGAACAAAGCCTGTCCCTCTCTCTCCTCGCTGTCCTTCTCTCAGACTGGCTCTTCTCGGTCACACACTCTCTTAAAAACAAAGCTTCCAATTAAAACTAAAAACAGTCTGATGGAAACCTACAGTTCCTGAAGGTTCTCAAAGGGATCTGCGTTTGTTCATTTTATTACATTTTCATCACATTTATCAAACTTCAATTGAGGCTTCATAGTCTCCGTATGAAAAGTCATATGGTTTTGCAATGAATATATTTCATTACGCATATGAAAATCTACAGTTATGTAATACATATTCTCATCAGCTGTAATGTTGTCCATAGGGAAGCTGTGAAAAGCAAAATATTCACATATTTATGCACAGAATGATGATACCAAGAATTACATCGGCATTCAATATCAAATCTTTGTGCTTCGATATTTACATTCAAACAAATAATGCAACTCAATAAGATCAGATAGATATCAGAAAGTAATCAAACTACATTTAAATCGCAATCATATGTGGATATTTAGGGTTATGAGACGAAACGTTTGGCATCATTACTACATTCACTGTCAAACTGCGGTCCGGTTCTTCATGTCATAGCAGGAAGGATACAGTACATCTGACTTCGGTATTGGATTCGGTTATTTTTAGCACAAACTGACAACATTCATGAGCAGTACTGTAAAATACGGAGGCGTATTGCATTCACTTGAAGAAAAAAAATCTACTCTGTTTTTCTGAATTAATGAGTAAATTTTTCATGAGAAAATATTTTTTCTCTGTTTTTCTGAATTAATGAGTTAATTTTTCGTGAGAAAAAAAGGTTTTGCTCTGTTTTTTCTGAATTAACTCGTTAATTCAGAAAAACAGAGCAAAAAAAAAAATTCCATGAAAAATTAACTCGTTAATTTAGAAAAACAGAGCAAAAAAAAATCCATGAAAAATTAACTCATTCATTCAGAAAAACAGAGCAAAATATATTTTTTTTCTCATGAAAAATTAACTCATTAATTCAGAAAAACAGAGCAAAAACGTTTTTTCTAATGAAAAATTAACTCATTAATTCAGAAAAACAGAGCAAAAAAAAAAAAAAAAAATTCCATGAAAAATTAACTCGTTAATTTAGAAAAACAGAGCAAAAACTTTTTTTCTAATGAAAAATTAACTCAGTAATTCAGAAAAACAGAGCAAATTTTTTTTCTCATGAAAAATTAACTCGTTAATTCAGAAAAACAGAGTAGATTTTGTTTTCTTCAAGTGAATGCAATACGCCTCCGTAGTAAAACAACAGCAAAGCTGGAACATTTATGCTACAACAATCATTTTCTGAAATATATATATAAAAATCTGTAAATATTACACATTTTTACTAGGTTTCGAGATTATTTACAACCAGACCATGATAGGGATGAATATATCACGCATAGAGGCAAATATTTCAGGAGGATTACAGATATTTCAGCTTGAGCAACAAAGCTTTACAGATGGCTTATGCGACTTTCACGTCAGAATATAAAAGAGTATAAATATTGTACATTAGAGAATATTAATTCATCAAAAGTGCTGTGTTTTTGAACAACAAACCAAATCAAGTTTAAGCATTTCAGTGGAAGTTTCAGCAGGACGGAACGGTCTTGAGTCTCTTTCTCTCAGCGTTTTCAAATGGCCACGTCACAACGCCCGGTGTTCACAGAGGTCTTTTGAGGTTATATCCGGATATTTCTCTTCAAATACCCCTGCGTTTGCTGCTAAGGCACAGCAGAGTGAACGCACGAAGGCTGCATGCTGAAATTTTTGACTCACGACTGCAGAATGTTGTCAATGTCACGTCAGCGCCGGAGAAGGCCGGACGAGACCGGAATCTGTTCTGATTGTCTCTTCAGAACGCTCGTATAGCAGCAGAGTTGATCTATTCCTTCAGCGTAGCAGACGTCTGTGTGGTATTACAAAAAGCTGTTGTCGAGTATGATGTATATAAGCATGGGGGAAGCGAGGACACATCACGGGACGTTCAGCATGCGTCGTCAGCGTCCTCTGTATTGGTAAGGGCAGCTGTGCAGAGGTCACTGAAAATATCTGAAATGTAATAAAAAGGAGAAGATTAGTTACGTAGCGTACAGTCTTTTCATTCAGAGCAACAGTAAACAGGTGGCAAACAAAACTAGACCTCGATCATAGCAAGGACGGGATCCATACAAACAAGAATCGAGAAAAGTCGCAAACCTAATACTGCGCTTTACGTCTTTTGAAACGCTGTAATTACTCTGGTTTGCGTCTTTGTCGTGTCTTTTCTGTTTTCTTGTTTGGAGTTTTGTTCCAGCTGTGGTCAGCACAGGTGAAGAAGCTTGAAGCGCAACATGAAAAACATACGAACACTTCAGTAGCCTATATTCTGAATCAGCTCCAAACAGCTGCAGGGCTCAACTATAAGGATGAATCTATTGGATAAGGATTTCTGTGATGCAAAGCTGAATTCTCAACATTACTTCAGTGTTCAGGGTCACATGATCCTTCACAAATCATTTTAAAATGCTGATGTATTAAAGGAGTAGTTCACTTTTGCTGATAATTTACTCACCCCCATGTCATCCAAGATGTCCATGTCATTCTTTCTTCAGTCGAAAAGAAATTAAGGTTTTTGATGAAAACATTCCAGGATTTTTCTCCATATAATGGACTTCAATGGGAACCAAACGGTTCAAGGTCCAAAAGACAGTTTCGGTGCAAACTGTTGAAAGGGCTTTAAACGATTCCAGATGGTGAATAAGGGTCTTATCAAGCGAAACGATTGCTCATAAAAAAAACAAAAAACAAATTTTAAGTTTTATAAGCTCAAATGGTTGCCTTTCTCTGTTCTGTGATGTGCGTTCGTGACTCTCCTGTTCAAACTCATTCATCAAAATAAACGAATCTTTTTAAAATTCAACTCGTTCATTCCGTTCGTTGAATGAACCAAATGACACGAAAACGATTCGTTCATTTTGATGAACGAGTTTGAACAGGAGAGTCACGAACGCTCATCACAGAACAGAGCAAGGCCACCATTTGAGCTTATAAAACTTAAACTTTTTTTTTTTAAATGAGCGATCGTTTCGCTTGATAAGACCCTTATTCCTCGCCTGTAATGGTTTAAAGCCCTTTGAACAGTTTGCACTGAAACTGTCTTTTGGACCTTGAACCATTTGGTTCCCATTGAAGTCCATTATATGGAGAAAAATCCTGGAATGTTTTCATCAAAAACCTTAATTTCTTTTCGACTGAAAAAAGAATGACATGGACATCTTGGATGACATGGGGGTGAGTAAATTATCAGCAAAAGTTTTTTTTTTTTTTTTTTTTTTTTAAGTGAACTACTACTTTAATGTTGGAAGCAATTGTGCTTTATAATATATATATATATATATATATATATATATATATAAATATACAAGTAAAAAAAGTTAAAAAAAAAAACAAGTTTATAACAAAATACACTACTGTTCAAAAGTTTGGAGTCAGTATTTATGTTTTCTGTAAAATAATACTGTATAAAAATAACATTAATATAATTAATTAATATAATATAATTTTATTCAGCAAGGATGTGTTAAATTGATTAAAAGTGATAGTAAAGATTTATAATAAAAGATTTCTATTTTGAATAAATGCTGCTATTTTTAACTATTTATTAATCAATGAATCCTGAAAATAAGTATCACATGTTCCAAAAATATATTAAACCGCAAAACTGTTTCCAACATTGATAATTGAAAATCAAATCAGAATATTTGAATTCATGTGACACTGAAGACTGGAGTAATGATGCAGAAAATTCAGCTTTGCATTACAGAAATATATTAAAGTGTATTAAAATAGAAAACCATTATTTTAGATTGTAATAATATTTCACAAAAGTCTTTTTCTGTATTTTTGATTAAATAAATGCAGACTTGATGTGCACAAGATACTTCTTTTAAAAACATAAACAATAGTTTTCAAACATATTTTTCTAAGTGACAGTAAAGACTTTAACATTCACAAATTTATATATATATATGAAATTTTGTGATGAAATATTAAGCAGCACAACTGTTTTAATCAATAAATACAAAAGAGTTATTTCAAATTGTAATATCTCACATTATTACAGTTGTTACTGTACATTTACTGTATGCATATATTCTGTGGTCAGTATTAACATCCTCACAGTTGAGTCCAGAGCTGCCTCTGCTCTCAGTCAAAGCTTTACGTGCAGCACCTTGTTATTAGTATAGCAAAAGTCTGAGAAAACCAGTCAAACAAGACCGAGAGTGGCATTATGAGCACGCCAAGGTTTCATGGAATGAAGTGCATGCCTGTGGAGGTGATGTCATGCACACCTCTTTAAAAAAAGCAGCAGACTGCAAACAGGTGCCTCCGTCAGTCTCGTCGTCCACTGACCTAGATCTCAAATTACAGCCGGTCTGTTTCATGACGGTGTCTTGTGTGCATTCACATGTAAGATCGAGCGAGAAGGGGCTGAGTGACATGAGAGGTCAAAGTGCATCGTCTAATGCATCGTCATAAAAGATGTAATCCTCATAGAGTATGAGCTAAATATGAAAGAATTTTATGGAAACCATCAGTCTGAACTAAGTGTGTTCAGAGTGGTGATGTCAGTCATGCCCTTCTGCTGCTCTTCCTGGGATTGGTGTGCGGTACCGGAGTTACTGTAAAGGTCTACTTCTTCTGCTGTGGACTGCAGGACAGTGGGCGGCACCAGTCCTGTCTTCTGAGTTCTAAGGTTCTTGACTAGCCTAGAACATGAGAGACAGTGTTCAACGGCAGCACGGACATAGAGAACCTGGAGCTCAACAAGGGCTCAATATGATTGGCTGATTCCTTGGAATTTTCATTAAAACGACGAAAGAGGTTTGATGGACCTGTTATATGTGGTGGCCCACGACAATTAAAAATTAAGGCCGAGTATCCAAATCTGATCACGTGTTTCCAGCAGGACAGTACATTGTAATGGACAAACATCTGATCTAAAAAAGTATATTTAGTCACCTTAAATGCATAACATTGACTTTGACACTGCCCCCTTGTGGTCTGGAGAAGTTTTATGTTTTATGACTTAATTTATTTGTATTTAAAATATATATTTGCTCTGTAAATTTTATTGTGTTGTGCACCTATGGCCATCATCGTTATAGGTTAAGCTGCATCCATTCAGTTTGGTTTTATTCATTTTTTAAGGATCCCAGAGGAGGCTAATGGAAAAATTGAGATAGGAGGAAAAACTAAAACTGTGTTTGAAATCACCCTCGATACCCTCATTCACTATTCCCCACATTACTTCACTAATGCAGTCGACTTAAAGGAGTGAATAAAAAACGAGTGAACGAATTCTGACATTATGTGCATGTGAAAAAAGCATTTTGATTGAAATAACTGTCAATTTAATCCCTGAAAAAATGCTTGCTTAATTTTTTAAGTTCAATCAACTTGGATGTTTAAGTCATTTCAACTTAAATTACATTAAACCGACTTTAAAAATGAGTTCAATCTTGCATAACATAAAAAAACCCTTGAAAACTGCTTCTTTTTTACGGTGCAAATCTCAATAATTTTCCAGGACCAAACATGGATAATACAGTAGAACATGTCCGGTTTGGGAGTATATTGTGAAAGTTGAACATGATTCAGGTTAAAGCTGAGTTTTATTGGTTACGCCATGGGATACTGGGATTATGTTGTGATATTGGCGAGCAATATCAATGTAGACAGTACAGTCCAACCGCACATCTAGTTTTTTGGCAGTGTATCACATACACTCCTCCTGAGCAAACACTAGAATCCTGTGGTTCAAGCTACCTTAAGTTTAGCTTGACTCTGCACAATGTCAAAACATCCACGAAAGCCTGAAAACTTATTATGAAGGGTTTGAGGGGGTTGATTGAGCAAAGAAAACTTTGAAACACTCTACAAAGCAGAAAAATGACTGGAGACAGTTTTTAAGATTAAATATGTATGAGATACTTCAGAATATGGCTGGCTTTTTCATTTCAGTCAAGAAATGTTAGATTAGGTGGTATTTAGCACCCGCAAAAGTATCAGAACCCAGCTTAGCTTTTTAAAGGCAATTGGGTAAATGACAAATAAGGGTGTAGAAAGAATAATAACAAAGAAAAAATAGCCAATTTCTTTGAAATGCACTTAGAAATGTTGGTTTCACCAATATTGGCATAATAACATAACAGATTTTCCTGTACAAGTGAATTTACTCATCTTACTTAACTTACTCATGTACTCATGTCATATAATTAGCCTAAAATTTCCTTGTAAAGGTAAAGGATTACTCTTTAATTACAATTTAATTGCACTTACTTGTATGTGATTGCATTAAATACTGTTGTGTACAACAATTCTGTTGTGCATTTAACATTTAAATGTAATGTTAAAATGTATATTTCTCCCGTTTTACACTTTGGTCAGGTCAAAAATAATTTATGCAATTGCATGTTTATTTGAAAGAATTAAAAGTGCAATTTTGTGTTTATTCTTGTATTGTTCATCTGGCCGAGGTTGATGTGGGATGTATAAAGTAATCCAAAACTTTTAGAGAGAGTAATCAAAGAGTACTAGCTAGTAAATAAATTACTTTTTTGGAACTTATTATTTGGTAACTTACCCAAAACTGTATACATATGTATGTGTGTGTTGGGTTGGGACTTGCCCATCAAAAAAGTTATATTTAAAAATTAAAGAGGGTATACAATTATATTTTAAGGGACTTTGGGTGGTCTGAAGGTGTTTCTGGAATGCTTTTTCACATGTTTCTGCCTGACGGTTGCTATACATGCCTTTGTTTTGTTGTTGTTGTTGTTTTTTTTTTCAAATATTAATAAGCAGTGAAGCAGTTATTGTGAAACATATTTAGTTCTCTTCAAGAATAGTATTAATTGAATGAGCTTTTTTCTTTTCTTCATTAACATCAGGGCAGTTTTTTCACCCTAACAAAAATTACTTTTATTATGAAAAATATAAAGACGCATCATAATAAACCGATCCGGACAACATCATAAAAAATGATAAGAAATGTGACAGCCCAATTTCTAAATAGAGAATGGCTTGATTGAATAAAATCAACAAATTACAGATTCTGATAAAATATATATATATTTTTTTATGAAACTCCTATTTTGACTGTGTGGGGTATTTAAAAGCAAAACCTTCAAATAATGAAATTAAGAGAACCAACAATGAATGAGAGCTCAGACAAAATGGGCTTCGTGAGAGTTTTGTTAGCGGTTGTCAGGTTTTTAGTGAAGCTGTCTTGAACAAATGCATAAATATATCTGGATGGAGACTTTCCTCATTACTCACCAGTGGCCATTCTCGGACTCTTCCAGGAATTGCACTAACTCTCCAGCCTCTACGGAAAGATCCTGGGCGGTTCCCGACTCGTATGTCAGCTGCACCTGATAGCGATCATTATCCCCCTTAAGAGAGACAAAGAAGTGCATCATTTATTGGATTATTGGATAATTGGTTTATTGGATCAGGGAGGAAACAGGTTAGGAAAAGTTACGATTCATACAAAGGCCTGCGTTCAGACATTCTTATCTGAGAAATCTCATCAATTGTTTATTCAAGGATGCCCTCTGGTGGTAGGAACCGTGTATGTGCAGTTTAATTCCCTCTAGCCACCATTAAATAGGTTCTGAATGAACTTTAGCTGCTATTAAGCCTCACTTCTGAAGTAGATCTCCCCTCCTCGAGCATCAGGCAAGATTAAATACAGAGAGACTCCTCAGGGTGTTCAAGAGTAAAAGATAATCTGGCCTCCTTTCTATATTAACTAACTGTAAAATGTTGCTATCTTTCATGCGAGCTCACTTAAAATCTGCAAAAAAATCTCTTATTTTTATTTTAAAAGGGACAGTTGAAGGGATAGTTCACCCAAAAATTACAATTTTGTCATTAATTACTCACCCTTATGTGGTTCCAAACCTATAAGATTTTCGTTCATCTACAGATAAAATACAAATAAAGATGTTTTTGATGAAATCAGAGAGATTTCTGTCCCTCCATTGACTATCTACGCAAGTCCATAAAGAGGTCGTAAAACTTATCCCTATGAATTGAGTGGTTTAATCCGAATTTTCTGAAAAGACACGATCGCTTTATATGATGAACAGATTAAGTTAAGCTTTTACACATTCATCAACTCATACATTAGTTGTGGTAAACTGAAGGTCAAGCATGGAGTGATGGAAACTCTCAGATTTCATCAAAAAGATCTTTATTTGTGTTCCCGAAGATGAACGAAAGTCTTACGTGTTTGGAACGACATGAGGGTGAGTAATTACTGACAGAATTTTGTCAATAACATTTTTGGGTGAACTATCCCTTTAAATAAAATGTTACTTTACTCAAACTCATGTCATTTCAAACCTCTTCTGTGGTAGATATTTTGAAAATGATATAATTTTTAAAAGTCAGTGAGGTCCAAAAGACATTTCACAAAATCTTTTTCTTTTTTTTTTTTTGGTTAAAATTGTTTAAACGGTCTCATTTTAAACTATATTCTTGGCATGCCAATTTCTTTGAAAAGAAACCGTAATATTCTGTGAAATATTTAATGTGTGTGAAATGATATTTTAAAATAATTTAAAATATATATTAAATAAATGCAAAAACGATCATTTTTATATTAAAATATTAATAATTATTTTACTATTATTGACATGAGAGATTAAATGAGAGTAAATGATGGCAGAAATCTTTTTTTCTGGTGAACTCTGTTCTTTATAATATTTTTTGTCACTCAAAATTGGAAGATGAGATATATGGACAAAATGTGGATGAGGACGTTTACGTTTTTGTTATGTCCTTCATCCTCTCCATCTGAAGAAATGGAGAGTTCTTCAGCACTAGAAGGAATGGTCTCAAAATCCTCGGCGTCCATTGATGGCAGACGACGTTGATTCCATCCTGGAAAATAGTATGCACGAGTTGACATCATTCAGTAAAAACCTTACAAGTGATGACACTCAGGGAATAGTGTTTGAGTTTGCCGAAAAAAAAAGAAAAAAAAACTTCTGTGAAAGGTAGACAAGATGTTGAAGCACTGTGAAAATAACTCTGACTGATTCTGTCACTGCCAGGCATCGAATGAGGAATGAAAATAGACGAAAACACCAGAGAGAACCCAATATGATTGGCATATCACTGCCTGTTTCTTATGATTACCTGGTTGAGACGCAGACCTCGGCACAGCAGGCTTGGTACCGGCGGTACCTTTACTTTTGCTCTCAGCGGGAAGTGCACCTCGTATGGTGTCTGTGAGAAAATCCTTATCAAACATGACCTCCATGATAGTAGTGATGCATGTGAAATGAAACCTCACATTATCATGCACAAATCAGCCAGATAACTGGCAAAAAATTTGTAAAAAATAACAACAGGAAGTCACTCGCACCCACTAAAATGTAAACATAACCTTATCCGAGAAACAGAGAACACAGCAAGCGGGAAACGATAGATTTGGAGGATGATACACACTTGATATGAACTGAAAAGCACCACCAAAACACCACAGAGCAAGCAAAAACACTTGAAATCAGAACAGATCAAAACAAGCTTGAAATCTGGTAGATTAATGCAGGCTAAACAACAGATAAAGCTTTTGCAAAACTGCAGGTGTTGGTAGCATCTGTAAGAATGGGATGGAAATTACAAATCAGTATTGTTGGGTGCATTGCATGATGCATATCATCATTTTTCAGGAAAGGTGTTTGGCTTTCTTTGAGTTTCTTGCATGATTATAATAGCTGTATAATTTCAGACTTGAGTCAAGATTAACTTAATAAATATTCAATGAAAAAAAATCATGAAAAAGTTAAATAAATATTAGCATGTAGAAATGCATGTACAAACATATTTTAAATTAATGAATTAATTATAAATGTAAACATTAAACCATTATTCATTATAATATTTTTTTCTATTGAGCCCGAGATGTAAATAATAAACATATAATTATTATAAATATAATACATTTTATATTTTAAAATTAGAAAGTAAAAATTTTAATTATAAACACTTTTTTAAATAAATGCATGTAAAAATATATATTTGAATCTATATCTGTCTAGCCATATAAATGTGTGTGTGAGTGTGTGTATATATATATATATATATATGTATATATATATATATATATATATATATTAGTGCTGTCCAATCGATAAATCGGAATTAATTGCATCTAACAAAGTTTATATATAAATAAAGGTGTATGTACACACACACACACACACACATATTATATATAAACTTTGTTAGATGCAATTAATTCCGATTTATTGATTTGACAGCACTTATATATATATATACATGTTAGATGTGATTAATCGATTTGACAGCACTAATGTGATTGTATGTGATACAGTACACATTTAAACACATATATTATTATTATTTTTTTTTTTTTCATATTTACAGCCCTAATGAATATAAACCAAAAAGTCTAAGGTTCAGGTCCTAGTAGAAGTGATCCTGCAACTAAACATTTTTTAGAAGATCACATACTTCTATTAACTCCAAATTGTTCCAGAACAACTGTCCTGTTAAATAGTGTCCTTTTTCTTTGAATAAAACCATCTGGCCTCTTACTACAGACAATAAATTAATAAAAACAAACCAAAAAACAACATCTTACAAGGACTATTTTCAGCATGCAACATGCCGTGCTTTCCATGTGGTACCTTCATAGCCAAAAGGTGTAGGGTCGCTCTTGATCTGATGCCTCTTGCTCTTAAGGCTAGAGGAGAGAGGAACTAAGCACAAAACATGCATTTCTTTCAGGAAAGAAGTCCAGCTCATCTATCACATTCTTTCAACCTATCCATCCCAGACTAATAATCACACTAATTTTTCATTATCCCCCCACAGTTGCAACGCTTTCATCGCAATAAAAGAGAATAATGGGCCCACAAGAAACAAAAGGCTCATGTGCATCTAAATTCTCATTCACATTCCCAGAGCTCCGCAGCGGGGCTTCACTGCTAAATGTCATGCCAGATCCCAAATGTCAGCTTATCAAGAGTCAGTATTTATTATTCAGTGCAGCTGTCTCTTCATGTTTTTTAGAGGATTAATTTGCTACAAAGTGCACAGTTTGATTCATTTCAAACATTTTATATGAGCAGCAATGAAGGAGCTTGAGATATATTTGGCTGATGGTGAAATACCAAAAATATATAACAATTCCAGCTTCTAGAAAGCCCAGTTTCAGTTGTAAGGTGGTGGGCTACATGACTTTTTGAAGTTGGGCCAGAGACTTGGGATATTGGGTTACCAGTTTGCTAAGGCATTAAATAGCTGGGACAGGCCCACCCATGTAAATATGACATACCACTGACATTGGTAAATACAGCAGAAATCCCAGCTCATTTAAGGACAAGCATTTACTTAATGTGGGGAGCAAGAATAATGTGTCTAAAATGCATATGCACCAGGTTATAACGTTCGTCCTCTTTACTTTAACGCTGTTATACTGAAGTAAATTGTTAGTTCACATGTGTTCAGAGGTGATCATGCACGTGAGTAAAACCACACAAGCAGTTTTTTGTACCTTTAGTGCGCGGTGCAGAAGCGGAGCTGACAGTCGAGGCTAAAGAAAAGCGGCGTGTGACTTCAGTCTCCTTGGCTGCAGCTTCTGAAGTCAAAGGTAGGGATGGGTTAGTACCGTGGTTAATCTGATTTAAGACAAAACCGGATGAAGTGGTGAAATGAGAGACAGGTGGGTGCAAGTTAGCGAACATTCGCTGACATGTTGAGCAAGGGTTAATTTGTGGGTGGCAGAGTTCACGCCGAATACCGTTTCCTGCTCTCTCTCATTTCTTTCCTGTTGATCTCTTTCTGTACTTTCCTATCTATTGAAATAAAGCGAAGGTGGGATGTTTATTTGAACACAAAATGAAGTCAAAAATGATAGCAGAGAATGACAATGGATGTATTTGGAAGATGTAGAATTAAAATAAATAATAATAAAAAAAAAAAACAAATCAAAGAAATTTACCTAATTGTAATTTTACAAAACTTGATGCCGACTTGACAGAGATTTTACAGACAGACAGACAGACAGTTGGCCTTGCTTTGACCTTTAGGCAATTCAAGTCAATGGCACCTATGAATTAGAAACATCCTACTAAAATGCCAGCACTGTTTCGAAAATGTCAAGAGAATAGTGTAAGCTCTGTGTAACACTACACCATGACGTTTGCTTAGAGCTTGAAATATCGGTAACACTTTACTTGAAGGGGTGTTCATAAGACTGGCATGACACCTTCATAACCATGACATGACATTTGTCTTGAATATGAAGTAAGGTTTTTGCAAGTGTATTTCGCTCAGTAGTGACATTTTGAATGCAAATATGACATTGTTTAAAGCTACACTTTGTAACTCTTTTAGTTTAAAAACACTTAGTTCTTTCAAAAATATATGTGCTCATTAATGTATATTTACTTTGTTCAAGTAATAAAGTATTCTCGTGAGTGTATAATATGCCATTGAAAATACATACGGGTAAGGGGTTCTAATGTCGGTCGCCATGTTGCCCCTCCATCTTGAAAGTACATTAGCCAAAGAGGGACATACCCGTTAATTCAAGCTTCGCCTTTCGCGTTTACGTTTGAGTTACCAATCATGGACGAGGTCGAACTGGAAGCCATGGTAATCTTGGACTACATTGGCCACCGTAGGAGTTAAAACGAAATCGGAATTGAGAGGAACAGAAACTAATATTCACTGGATGGTCATATACCTTTTCACCGCTAGATGGGGGTAAAAATCACACAGTGTAGCTTTAAGATGTCTTTGTCGTGACAACTTGACATAAAATTAAGTTAAACTGTCATGTGGTTGGCTTTGACATTAGCTGTCATGAGGCCATTATAAGTGCGTCATGAATATTTTTCGTGACCTCAACTACAGTGGTACTAATTGAATTTGTCATTAAAGAGTTATAATGGCTTTATGTTAACCAGTGTTGTGCAAGTTACTTCCAAACTGTAATACATTAGGTATTACTTGTTACTGTTATTTAAAAGTAATTCATTACCTTACAATATTACTGTCCCAGAATTGTAATGCGTTACATTACTCATGTATTACTTTTGAGTTACTTTCACCAAAATAACTAAGTAGAACTTAACTTTTGGGCTGTAACGATAAGCAATATGAAACCGAAATCGCGATTCGCGACATCCACGAACCTACAGAATCGCGACACACCTCTTCCAACTCCAGCGTTATTCTCCTTACCGTCCATATCCAATGCTGCCTTATCTTTAAATTAGGCTATTAGTATTATTTGAAGTTAACATTATAAAATACGTAGACCTACACCACAAAACTAGTTGAGGATAAATTATTTAAAATTGGGGAAGTCCAGCATTATGGACATGACATTTGCAGTCAAAACTTGAAATAAAAATTCTCCGAAAATTCATGTATTGAAACGTATATAGGCTACTTCCTTAAAGGACTCCAGACATTAGACAAATATCAGTCTATGTTTTATTTTTAATATTAGGGAAAAGACGCACATTCATGCGTGACAAAAAAATAGGAGGTAAAATCGATTTTTTTGTAATTCTGTTAATTACACTGCGCAAATCGGATGAGGAAGGGTTGGCTCTCCAGTCTCCATAGAACTTAAAATATTCATTTTATTTTAGAGGAAAAAACAATGTTACAGACGTGACCGCTCTGAACTGGCACTAAAAGACTGCTTTAAAACTTTCACATAGTCTGTTGCCTTTAAGAAGTAAAAGCAGACAATACACTGTAATACAATTGTAATACAAGCCTCACTGAACATGTAACGAGTAAAATATTACTGAAAATTGATTAGTAATGCCTTACACTACTGCGTTACAGCAAAAAGTAATATGTTACAGTAATGTATTACTTTTGTAATGCGTTACTCCCAACACTGATGTTAACCAATAAAGCTAGGTGGTTTCTAAAAGGGTTGGTTCACCCAAAAATGAAAATTCTGTCAGTATTTACTCACCCTCATGTTGTTCCAAGCCCGTAAGACCTTCGTTCATCTTCGGAACACAAATTAAGATATTTTTGATGAAATCTGAGAGCTGGATCACTCCTGCATACTAGTCCATAGGCTTCTTGAGGAATTGAAACTTGTCGTCCTCGAAAAGTTATTAAAGACATCGTTAAAATAGTCCAAGTGACTTCAGTGGTTTAATCTTAACTTTATCAAGCGACGAGAAAATTTTTTGTGGGCAAAAACAAACAAAAATAACGACTTTATTTCAACTATTCACTTCCTTCTCTTTGAGCCTCTAGTCAGTTAACGTAGTGTGATAGCGTAGAGCTACGTCACACGTAGGCTCAATATTGGCCGATGCTGGTCATGTGTGTGATGCGTGTGACGTACAATAACAGAAGCTTACGCTATTAAACTAGTAACCTGACTCGCGCAGAGGGAGAAATAAACGAATAGTTGAAATAAAGTCGTTATTTTTGTTGTTTTTTTGCGCACAAAAAGTGTTCTCGTCGTTTGATAAAGTTAAGATTGAGCCACTGTAGTCACTTGGACTATTTTAACGATGTCTTTAATAACTTTTTGAGGGCGGCAAGTTTCAAGTTTCAATCCCTCAAGAAGCCTATGGACTAGTATGCAGGAGTGATCCAGCTGTCAGATTTCATCAAAAATATCTTAATTTGTGTTCCGAAGATGAACGAAGGTCTTAAGGGGTTGGAACAACATGAGGGTGAGTAAATACTGACAGAATTTTCATTTTGGGGTGAACTAACCCTTTAAGTTTGATAATGCGATGTCTTAGTAATGTCAAGTTATCTCAAACATCTCAAACAATGTCATAGTGCATTAAATTGCATTAAAAATGTCATAACTGAGCGAATGACACTTAATGACAGTTGAACATATGTCATGTCATGATTATGAAGGTGTCATGTTAGTCTTATGCACACCCCTTCAAGTAAAGTGTTACAGAAATATCTCAGTTCTTCTGTTGACTTCAGTGGAGGCTGACCTGCTTTGCACACAATTCAAATTCCTCTGAGAATTCAAATGTTCTACGATGACAAAGCTCTTGAGGTTCCCACTTTCCTTTCAGAAGTCAAAAAAAAAAAGGCAATAAGTGATCTCGGAGACGACTGACAGAGAGGGATGACAATGAATTTTAGCAACAGGGGCAACAGGTTCACATCAGAATGAGATGATAGATGAGTCCAAATAGAGACGAGCCATGGTACCTGCGGGAAGAGACCTGCGGTTTGACAGGCCCTGTAAGGTGAAGCGCTTTCTAGCAAGAGCAGATCGCTCTGAGCCGAGGCTGGCTGAAGCATCAGCTATAAGAGGAGAGGAGGAGAGGACTGCGGTTAAAGCAGCAGGTAGGAGACGTGATGTGAACAGCAAGGAAACGAGAGCAAGAAGGATCTGTCATGAAATAAAAATGGTTAGTCTGTGATAAGGTTGGAAATCAAAAATCGAAAAATTCCATTTCTCGAATTGGATCCTAAAGGTCAGGAATCACTTGTTATAAAATAAGAATGTTATTCATCTTATCGATTCCTTTCTGTGTATTTTAATACGACCATTCAGGCGCATAAACCTGTACACTTTTTTCCTGTGGTGAGCACACATCCGAAACGTGAGCACAGAAAGCCGACTCTCATACTATATAGTGCGTGATACTGAACTCAGTTCCGTTCCACGTCTTTTGAAACGTGAACGGACAAATAATCACAAAAACATGTCAAACTATTCTTGTAAACACAGTCGTTATGTCTTAAAGGTGCTCTAAGCAATCTGCCCATCCCCTAAACACACTGTAAAAAAGCGAGGTCTATGAAGATAACCCAGGCTCCACAAATGGCAACAAAAACAAATTGCGGCAACCCGCTACACAAAACATAACAAACTGTTCCAGCCAATTGCTGACAAGAAGACCCTGGGGGTGGGGTTTGGGGGGTCAGTGCAAATGAGGAGGGAGGGTCTATCTAGCCTCCGTTTTGTTTGAAAATACTTTAAACGTCAACAAAAAGTCACGTCACCCGCTTAGAGCACCTTTAAGGCCGTGTGTCCACCAAAGCGTTTTTAGCCAGCTGAAAACGCTAGACGCTCTGCTGAAGACGCCGTGCATTGGGCGCTTGAGAGCGCTTTGGCAGCGCAGCGTTTTGTTCTGTTGAGACGTTTCGTTGCTATGATACAGAATATCCGCAGCAGTTTGAATGTTGTGACAGTTCAGGTGTGGTATTAGTCCCGCCCCTCCTCCACTGTGATTGGACAGCTGGGTAAAAAGTGACCGTGATGAGCGCTGCGTTTTATCCAAAGTTGAACATTTTTCAACTCCCAGCGACCAGTAAAAACGCTGGGCGCTCGGCGCTTCAGCGTGAAAAAAACGCTCAGCGCCACGGTACACTCATGGCGTTTAAAAAACGCGGCACTCCCATTGAAAACAATTGAAAACATACGCCAGGCGTGCGGAAAAACGCTTTGGTGGACACACGGCCTAAGTGAACGTTAACAATTCATAAAGAAAACGCATAACAGTATATTGGATCTGTGCAGCTCTTAAAGTGACAGCAGCCTAATATTCCTGCTGCGGCGTTTAACCCTTTCACACGTAAGTTTAAAATATTCTAACTGACCCCCCAGCGTGAGTTTTTCAAGGCGACCGTTATTTAGAACATGCCACTTTAATGTTTCCATGGTGACGCGTCATTGCTTGTCACGTGACACAGCACAACCAGAACAGAGCGCGGAATGAATGATGATCTGCTTTTATGTCATTTTTCCTTTTTTATTAAAAATATTCAAAAATGTATTAGCTATATTATGAAACACTGATATTCCGATTGTCAAATATGTGCAAATGGATGGGTTTTGTTGTTTAGACATCTTTATAACGATCGCGTTAGTTGAGCTGTGTGCACAATGGGCGGCGCCATTTTAGTTTCGTTTTCAGTTCAGAGAATCGGATCTGTTGGATTTATAACGTCAATTCATCCACTTCGCACGAAATACATGATAGTAAATGGCTGGTGAACTGGGAGAAGAATAGGGTCAAATGTTAAGCTACTTACACAATGTGTATCTGATATGAATAAAACGTGTCATCTTATTATAATTGAAAGGATTATTATTGCCGCTTCTATAGACATCTGTGTGTATTTTACAAACTCAAAATCATTGTTTTGCTAGTGCATATGTGTATTTAAATGTCTGAAACCTAAAATAAACATTATGTGGTTGAAAACACTCAATAGTTGTGATATATGACAGCACTGAGTGCGTCTGTCTCTGGCTGAGCGCCAGCCAACGCGCGAGAGCAAGTTTGAATTTAGCAGTTGCTGACGTGTGCACTGAATGTTCTAATCACACCGGTGTGATCGTACGCTCCAGGGACCAGCCAAGACTGATCACACCGGTGTGATCGTACGCGTGAAAGGGTTAATCAAACAACAAAAGACAAAGAGTAAATTCAGTCGCCATTTTTCACTAAATAACTTGAAACTATATTTGTAATGCATATTTTATTTATAAAGTGCAGTCGTATTTTACATTTGATTACAGTTTCTGTACCCGAATAATTGGAAATCTTAAAACACTTTATTTCAATCGCATCTTTGTTCAGTTGTATTTATTTGTTCGATTGCTAATTTGTTTATTTGTTCTTAATCACGAAGTGTTTACTAGTCTTTAATAATGCCCATAATTTATATAAGTTAGTCTAGTTGTTTTTTGCTATGGTATTTTTAAACCATAGGCAAAAGTTCCTTGTAGAAGTGTTCTGTATGCCTGGTTCAGATTACACAATTATTATTATTTATTTATTTTTGTCAGTTACGATAGTCACTGTGTAAGATTACACGATTTTGACTCCTAAAATCTTGTTGTGTCGTGGATGAGAAACATGTCAGACTACATGTTGCTTCCTGACCAGTCATCACATGCCGTCTTTAATGGCGTGCATGATGTCATCGAGAAGGCGAAACTAGTAGCAAGTGACTTCTGGGAAACGAACGTAAACAAAAAATGGATGAAGCGGTGAGTGTTGTATTGGCTGTCCTGTGTTCAGAAAAAAGTAAAAAAAAAGAAAGAAAACCCGACAATGGACACGTTCCTGGATTGCTCGAAGAGGACAGTATGGGCTGTCAATCCTCCAAAGAGAACTTGAGGTAAAATATCGCCATTGAAAGTTGTGTATGGAAAAGCTTCTGTGCTCCTATTGGTCAACCTCATCCATGTGACAGAATCCGTCGTGGATGACCGTTAAAAAAATGAAATGTATTCTTATTGTCATAGTGCTATTGTCACTACTGTCGTAGATTGCTATAGCCTATATTACTATTATTGTCATGAATATTATCATTATAAATACTATCATTGATACTACCACCACTAATACAGATACATATATATATATACATATATATATATATATTTCTTTGTGTTTGTCAAAGTCTCTATCATATCCTCTACAACTATTCAGATACTACCGAATTGCATCACAGAAAGGATCTTGTGTGCCTACATATACCACTTTGTCGATAACTGTGTGGGGCTGTTGTGAGTTTTTCTGTTCTCTGTTGTTTTTTTTTGTTTTTTGTTTTTTGTTTCCCCTTTTCTACTTCTGTATTGTAGATGTGTCTCACTGAAACTTACCTGGTATGTGTTACTGTTTTGTTAACCTGCAATAAAAAAAAAAAAAAAAAAAAAAAAAAAAAAATGAAACATGCTAGTCTTTTTGTCGTGAAGCATCGCAGACGCGACGTAGGTTGTCGCCCACTATGAGACACTATACGAGATGATACGATCGAATCTTGCGTCCCGACGCCCATTGTCATTTACGAATCCCCATGACACCCTACGTCAAACGGATCGTGCCAAAATCGTGTAATCTGAACCAGGCATTATTTTTGTTCATGGTATTAACTACGGTACAAAGTTTTGCAATAAGATATCTTAGTTTATTGTTACCTTATTGGAATTGAAATCAGGACCCAATAAGAATCACAATTGATCAGAAGCAGAAGCAGAATCGTTCAAATTCAAACAATATCCAATCCAAGTCTGTGACAGATAAATAAAATTAGCATTATACTGTATTATGTTCGGTAGATATTGAATAGGCACCGGTTTTTGAAAAATACACAATCTGTGACATAATGGATATTTTAGCTGTGTCAAAGACTAAGGTGAGACATGTTTATGAGTGTAAAACATCTCCAGCTCAGGTCAGAGACTCGTAATCCTCCGCTGCAGTTGAACACAACACTGCCCTCCAGGCTGAGTTTGTCAGGAGCGCTGGGTCAGCACACAGAGGACTTCTATCCTCAGAGGAACTAAACACCTGTCAAAATCCTTTACTCATTCAAAATCTGCAAGACCAAACATAGCCATATTTACCCCAAACCACCTCTCCGTCTTAACCAGACACCAACATACACAGGTGAGGTACAAGGGAGCAGTCCAGGTCAGACCAACCGGAGATTGGAAGATTCATCACGCTCATCCAGATGTTAATGGCATTTTAACTGAGCCTCATCTTAAATCACCTCACCAAGGGGAATGAATCTGTGAAGTGCTTACCAGTAACCAATTACCCAGTGGCAATTTTACAGCCATTACAGCAGAGATTAGAGATAATGGCCAAATTAAAGAAAACGCACTAAATGGTTAAAAAAAAGTAAGCAGGAGGGAGGAAGACAGACAGTGCTCTGAGATAAATGGACTTTCTCCTTAAATAACCACAAATCTGGAATGCCTATTGACCACTGCAGGCTCTGAAGGACAAATAGTGCTGTTTGCTTGGTTGGTTAGAGAAACGGCAGCTTTGCACTGTTTGGATATGAGATTTAGAGGGGCTCTCACCTCGTTTCTGACGCATATTTGGGCCTGTGTCACGTCTGTAGCCTGTTTCAGGACTGGAAGAGTCCGACTGTCGGAGAGCTGTTTTGCGCATATATCTGTCAATGAAAGCAAAGTCAGCTGAACATAATTAGTCTATTAGTTATTCAACCCCCTGAACAGAACCCCTTTAAAACAGCACAAATCTGCAAAACGGGTCTTGTCCCAAGCACACCTGATGCAACTAATCATATATATAAGGGTCCATCAATATAAATGTGAATAATTTTGAGTCATTCAAAGTTGCATTTTCAGTTTAATTTGGGGTAACCACTTTAAAAACATTGTGATGAGTTATTTCAATTACTTTTGTTTGATGCAAACAGTTGAAAGCCAATAAAACTGATTTGCAACGGGTTGAATAATTTAGATTACAACTGTATATTATCACTATATTATATCAACTCTATTATATACAACCATAAGCAAATGCTCATTAATAAATGGGGATGTACAAGCAAAGTAATTTGGATTGTATTACATGTAGACAAATGTGAAAATCAAGCAAATCACATTTTTGAGCGAGGAGATTCAAATATTTGACAAATTTAAAAAATATTATTGTAATATAATATATGAAGAGTTCAGATGCAAAAGCCTCTAAGTGCCATTTGAAATTTTCTTCTAAAATGATCATTTTTTTCAAGCTTGTATATTTAAGTTCAGTAATTTCACTTAAATGGCAATGAAGATTACCTATTAATTGTTATTTAAGTGAAATTACTCAACTTAAATATACAAGCTTGATAAAAATGGTCATTTTAGAAGAAAATTTCAAATGGCATTTAGAGGCTTTTGCATCTGAACTCTTCATATATTATTGTTAAGTAAATACTGTAAAAGGTAAACAAGTAGGTAAGATTAGAATACTAAAGCAAAACCTGGTTCAAGTTCAAATATGCTTATAAAATAGCTTTGAGAAAAGGTTGAGCATCATTTGTTAGCAAATTTGGATAATTTGTTTTGAAATATATGCGAGATGAAATTCATAATTTTATAAAGTGCCTCTATCATGCTTTTTTGAATATTACCATTCATGCAGTGTGTAATGTAGCGGTCTTTGAATGTTAACGATCAGCTAAGTCATGAAGCCTAAAGTGTAGTTACATTGTGTACAATCGCTGAGCTTTAGGAAGTCTCTGTAGCTGAAGTTCAGATATGGTAATGGACGTATCGTTTCCGACACGCATTGTAAGCGGTAGAACAATCACAACAGACTGGGCCATTTGACCAATCAGAGCAGAGCAGGCTCTCAGAAAGGAGGGTTTTAGAGAGACTGAATCTTCGGGACAAGTCGATTGAGAATCTTTGAAAAATGTTGTGATGTGCAATGTATATTGTGAGAAAATGATCGTTTTTTTGTTTTGTTTTTTTAAATTTTATGCATGTAACCTGCTGTAGGAGATGTTAGAAATTATGAACCTTTTAAATAAAATAATAGGGGCACTTTAAGTATGTATGACCACACACACACACACACAAAAAAAAACCTTGCAAAAAGTACCTCATGGGAGCATGGTAGATGTTCTCTGTAATCTTCTGATTGAGTTGACTGGCTTCTGTGCAATGAGACAGCGAGCGAGAGAGAGAGAGAGAGAGAGAGAGAGAGAGAGAGAGACAGAGAGAGAGAGAGAGAGAGAGAGAGAGAGAGAGAGAGAGAGAGAGAGAGAGAGAGAGAGAGAGAGAGAGAGAGAGGTCATACACATATGTATTCAGACAACACAAATTAAAACCACAGAAAACACCCCAGGATTTGTTTGGTTTTTGATGTTGAATTCCCCATCTTTACTAAACAACCATGAAACCCAAAGGTTTTAGATAACATCATTTGTTCTCTATCAGATTGCCCCACAGACAGCACATGGCCTCTTTGGGTGTTTCCAAGCACTGAGGGGAACTCATAAATAGTTTTTACAGGGCAAGGACGCAAAACATTAAAATTGTGAGTTTAGAGGGTGAGGTTTTTTAAGGTAGTCATTGTGAGTTTACAATTCAATTTGGCTTTGCATGTAACATGTTTGTTCCCGGATAACTTCATTAGGTTAGACAGAGTTTTATTTTTATCAGACTGGGTTTGCACAATGAGGTTGAGGAATGTTTGCTCAGAAACAGTGTTGGGAGTAACGCATTACAAAAGTAATACATTACTGTAACATATTACTTTTTGCTGTAACGCAGTAGTGTAAGGCATTACTAATCAATTTTCAGTAATATTTTACTCGTTACATGTTCAGTGAGGCTTGTATTACAATTGTATTACAGTGTATTGTCTGCTTTTACTTCTTAAAGGCAACAGACTATGTGAAAGTTTTAAAGCAGTCTTTTAGTGCCAGTTCAGAGCGGTCGCGTCTGTAACATTGTTTTTTCCTCTAAAATAAAATGAATATTTTAAGTTCTATGGAGACTGGAGAGCCAACCCTTCCTCATCCGATTTGCGCAGTGTAATTAACAGAATTACAAAAAAATCGATTTTACCTCCTATTTTTTTGTCACGCATGAATGTGCGTCTTTTCCCTAATATTAAAAATAAAACATAGACTGATATTTGTCTAATGCCTGGAGTCCTTTAAGGAAGTAGCCTATATACGTTTCAATACATGAATTTTCGGAGAATTTTTATTTCAAGTTTTGACTGCAAATGTCATGTCCATAATGCTGGACTTCCCCAATTTTAAATAATTTATCCTCAACTAGTTTTGTGGTGTAGGTCTACGTATTTTATAATGTTAACTTCAAATAATACTAATAGCCTAATTTAAAGATAAGGCAGCATTGGATATGGACGGTAAGGAGAATAACGCTGGAGTTGGAAGAGGTGTGTCGCGATTCTGTAGGTTCGTGGATGTCGCGAATCGCGATTTCGGTTTCATATTGCTTATCGTTACAGCCCAAAAGTTAAGTTCTACTTAGTTATTTTGGTGAAAGTAACTCAAAAGTAATACATGAGTAATGTAACGCATTACAATTCTGGGACAGTATTATTGTAAGGTAATGAATTACTTTTAAATAACAGTAACAAGTAATACCTAATGTATTACAGTTTGGAAGTAACTTGCACAACACTGATTGTGAGTTTAGAGGGTGAGGTTTTTTAAGGTAGTCATTGTGAGTTTACAATTCAATTTGGCTTTGCATGTAACATGTTTGTTCCCGGATAACTTCATTAGGTTAGACAGAGTTTTATTTTTATCAGACTGGGTTTGCACAATGAGGTTGAGGAATGTTTGCTCAGAAATACCTCGGCAGGCCTCCAGTTGGCTTGTTAAGACTTTGCGGATCTCTGACACCCACGTGTTCTTCACATCCATGGAAGGGGCCTGACAGAGAATACAGGAACAGACATATGCTATGACAGGGGAAACCTTCCTGCTATGGGACAACAGTTCCCTCTCATGGCCAAGACATGGAAAAACAGGATGCCATTTGACAATAAAAAATAGATTAGATAAAACCAAACAGCGTTCACAACAGAGCACAGCCACAACGGACATTGTTGTGAATATAATAATAGACTCACAATTGGTTAACATAATTATTATTATTATTTTACATAGTCACAGACTACCCTGCTGAAAAATCTAGCATAAATAGATTGAATTCTATGCTGGTTCAGGCTGGTTTATGCTAGTTGGAGATTGGAGAAGTATTGGTCTAGCTATAGTGGACCAGTACACTCTCAGAAAAAAAAAAGGTACAAAAGCTGTCACTGGGACTGTATCTTTTCAAAAGGTACACTTTTGTACCCAAAGGCTGCATATTGGTACCTTAGTGGTACATATTAGCACCTAAAATATACCTAAACATCTAAAATGTACATATTAGTACCTAAAATGTACATACACCTAAAATGTACACATTACCACGTAAAATGGACATATTAGCTCATGAAATGGACATATTAGCATCTAAAATGTACATATTAACACTTAAAATGTACATATTAGTACCTAAAATGTACATATTAACACTTAAAATGGATATACTGTATTAGCTCCTGAAATGGACATATTAGCACCAAAAATGTACATATCAGAAACTAAAATGTACATATTAACACTTAAAATGTACATATTAGCACATAAAATGTACATATTAGCACCTAAACTGTACATATTAGCACCTAAGTTGTACATAACACTTAAAATGTGCATATTAGCACCTGAAATGGACAAAAGTTTGCCTTTTGAAAAGGTACAGCCCCAGTGACAGCTTTTGTACCTTTTTTCTGAGAGTGTATAATTGTGCTGTTCTCAAGCAAATCTGAGCTGATGGTGTAGCTGGTCCACCAGAAGCCCCACAACCCTTGCTGGAGACCAGCAAACCAGCATCCCATATTGCTCCCAGCATGCAAATCATACCTTTTTTCTGGATTTCTGGATTTTTTTCTGCAGGGTATTTGGACCCCACTGCATATACTAAAAAAAAAAAAAAAAAATTCTGTGTCACAGCGTTCCTGTCACATTAGTCTGTACCTGAATGATGTAAACTTCTTCTCTGCCATTGTACCAGATTTCAAACTTCTTGATGTCTCCCTTTACATTTTCTGTGATTCCCACTGAGCTCATCTAAAAAAAAAAAAAAGAAAATATATTATTTTATATACATATATATACATACACACAGACATATACTGTATATACTCAGCAAAAAAAAAAAAAAAAAAAAAAAAAGAAACGTCATTTTCAGGATATATAATTCATTTAATTTATCAATTACATTCAACAATTAAATTATTTATTACTTTTTATTTTACTTATTTATTATTATTATTTACCACTTTTCAAACTTGCTGGGTTACCACTTAGGCCATGTGTCCACCAAAGCGTTTTTCCACGCGCCTGGCTTATGTTTTCAATTGTTTTCAATGGGAGCGCTGCGTTTTTTAAACGCCATGAGCGTACCGAGGCGTTGAGCGTTTTTTCACGCTGAAGCGCCGAGATCCCGGTGTTTTTACTTGTCGCTGGGAGTTGAAAAATGTTCAACGTTGGATAAAACGCATCACTCATCACTGTCACTTTTTACCCAGCCGTCCAATCACAGTGGAGGAGGGGCGGGACTAATACCACACCGACCAACTCTCAACATTCAAACTGCTGCTGATATTCTGTATCATAGCAACGAAACGTCTCAACGGAAAAAACGCTGCGCAGCCAAAACGCTCTCAAGCGCCCAAAGCACGGCGTCTTCAGCAGAGCGTCTAGCGTTTTCATCTGGCTAAAAACGCTTTGGTGGACACACGGCCTTAATGTAAAACCTGAGGCAAAACCACTTTCGAACAACTGATTAATCTAGAGGAATTTTTTTTGTTTGCATTCATATAACGCAATCAAAAGAAAACGTTTGAAAAGGTCAAATATTTGCTCTGAAGTTAAAGGAGACCTTAGAGCAAACAGGAACACCTTAGAGCCAACAGGAACACCTTAGAGCCAATAGGAAGCTACTACAAAACAGGATGTCCAATGGCATATTTTGCCTTCATTGTAGACATGGATCATTCTACACAGCCAGATATTTAGGCACTGTTAGCTCTGTTGATCAATCTGACAGTCTGACAGTGATTGTGCCTGTCCCACCTTTAATGAGTGCTTGAAACTGTAGGAAGGGGATTTCTCATGACCATCAGACGTCTCCTCACGTTTCTTGCAGAACAAAAGGATTTTGTGATAGAGGAAGAGATGTCTCTGCATGGGTTTGAAGCGTGCCAAGTCCTTCACCTTACTGTGACCTTTCTTATGGTCTGTCCAAACGTTAAACGAGCCCTGCATGAGCAGTTTGCCCAAATCATTAAGATTACCCTGAAAGCACACACACCAGATTTACATTAGAACAAATACAAAGCGACTTCATACATGTCTTTCACCATACTGTAGGTGCTCAACATGCAAACTGTTGAATTAGAAATGATATAATGTGCAAAAACCTCAAAACCAGTGATGGCGATCTGATGCATGGAGTCATTGACCGATTTGATGATGTCCAGCATTGTGGCCAGCGCTTCTTCTAGCTCGGCGGTTCCCTCTGAGTTTTTACTGCACTTCAGCATCTCCTGTAAAATGAGCAGATTCAAAGAACAATAAAAGGCAATTGAGAGGTCATGACCTCAATATACAAACAAAAAACAATCTAATATAAAATTGAAAGACTTACCTTTAACATCAGTTGGTACTTGGTGATTCTCTGCACAGGTTTTAGCAGATACGCATCTAGTGAAAGCTTGTGGTCTAACCTCTTCTGACACTCCTGCATAAAAAACAAACAAATAAATAAATAAATAACACTAATGTTGTGTTCCGGATTTTTCATTTACAAAAATAGCGCGGAGCTAGTTGTAACACACTTGTTTTTAATACTTACACACATGCTGGCATGACGAAATTTGGTGTATTTACTAGTTGCCATTTCAACACTAAATAAAAAAAAAATATTGCGCCAAAATTCCGAAATCTTTGTAAGATATCACTGAACGTTTATTTAACCATAGCAAAGGTACATTTCTTACTTAAGTTAATTTTTCATCTCTATTTTTTGTATTTATTTAAAATTAGACAAATCTGATATTATTTTAATTTCCAATCTGTTGTTTAACAGTTGATATAGTTCTTTAATGCTTCGCTAACTAGCAGAAGACACTAGCCGGGTTTAAACCCCAGTTGTGCAGTTGAGGCATGTTGTAACACTGTGCACCTATTAGAAATATATTCTATAATTTTATGAATTCTATTGAGAAAACATGAGAAACATGTAGATAAAGACTGAGAATCAATGTTCAGAAATTATTAATTATTATTTTGTTTTGAACTATGCTGCTGTGTTTTCCAGTGTGTTTGTCGTCAAACTCAAAAATTAGTTTATTTTTAATTATTAAAAAAATGCCATTATTGTATATGAAAAAGTTAATAATTGTATTTTATTAAGAAAATATTTTGGTTTGACTTATGTTTTTGATTAGATAAGATAGCATTTTAGGCTGTTATATGGTGATGTTAAAATGTGCACCTCACATGTTACAATGTACCCCACCTATGGGGCATGTTGTTACATTTCACTTCCATTCTTTCAGGGTAAATCAAGAAAAAGTATACACTGTATTAATAAAACAAAACCACATAATTGTACTATGTGGGAAATTAATGTGGGGAAAAAATGTATACTCTAAACCCTAAGTAGATTTACCCAAACTGAGAGAGTCAAAAATCGTTAGGCTGTGCCCCGCTCTCCCCTATATATCTCTCATTATGCTATATTATCACCAAATATTGGATTCGATCTATTTGTCAACTTGTTTTCCTTCAATTAGGATTTTGTATTTCTCTCTGGAACTGATTGACCTGATGCTATCTTAACATCTAAAAGGGATTTTTTTTTTTCTTCTAAGGAAGTACAATTTACAATTATCAAACATTACACAACCATTCAAAAGGTTGGGGTCAGGATTTAAAAAAAAAAAAAAAAAAAAACATTTTAACAAATAAATACTTTTATTCAGCAAGGATATAGTGATGGTAAAGATTATTCAAATTTTTTACATTGTCTCAAAAGATTCCAACATAAAAAATGCTTCCTATACGTCAAAGAATCCTGTAAAAATCGTTTAAGAAAATTGGAAATAATATTCAAAAAAAAATAATAATACGCAGCAAATTTATTTTCAACACTGTAACAATAAAAATGTTTCTAGAGCACCAAATCAGCTCATTAGAATGATATCCGAAGGATCATGTGACACTGAAGACTGGAGTAATGATGCTGAAACCAGCTTTACATTCACAGTATAAATAGATTATATTTAAATTATAATAATATTTCACAATGTTGCTGTTTTAACTGCATTTTTGATCAAATAAATACAGCCTCAGTCAGCATAAGAGACATCAAAAACAACTAAAATCTTACCGACCCCAAACTTTTGTAAAATATATATATGCATCACCTGAAAAAACATACTGTCCCCACACTGGCGCCACAGAGCCTCAGAGCGTGGCTTATTCTGACAATATTTCTCATAAATCTGTAACTCTTCCTTCTGTAAGACAGGAAATGACAAGCGTTAGGATCCCATTTCACATACTGTAGTTGTACAGTATCTCCAACCACATCTATGATGTCACTCACCCGCTTCAAAAAGCATATCCCTACCAACTCTGGCTTTTCTGCAGAGTTTTCCAGCTCTTTAAGAAACGTCCTGTCAAAACAAGATGGAAAAAAATGAGTGCAGACAAAACAAATGAGGTAATGGAACGAGGTCAAACAAAAATGGGTGAAAACAAACAGATCAGAGCACTAAGAAGGTGATGTTATAGTACAGTGTGAATCACCATTTACTCTCCCTCATGTTTTTTCTTTTTTTTCTAAATGAATTAGACTGTTTCTGTCAATGAAAAGCAATGAGGGCAGAAATTTCTCACTTCTCCAAATATCACAAAGAAGCACCACAAAATTAGTGGAGGTTCGGATTTGTGTCAGTTTCTGATTGGTTCCCTTGGTTCATGTGTCATATTCTTATTGGTTTATTGTGTCGATTACTTTCAGATTTGTCTTGTTTAGTCTTTGTTTATGAATATCCCTCCTAGCTTTGTTTGTGAAACTGATGTTTAGTGAGTTTTCATAAAATATATGTATTTTTTATTAAATAACAACAAATGAATCTCATTTTGGTCACCATTGACTTTCATTGTATGGGAAAGAATAGCATTAACATTGTTTATTTTGCACAAAATAAAAACATCAGAAAGGTGGGGAACGACATGAGGGTGAATAAATAATGACAGAATTTACATTCTAGGGTGAACTATCACGCTGTGTCCCTTTGTGTGATTATTTAAACAAAACCTATATACATTTTATCAATGTCAAACAAATCAATACAGAACGTCCAATATCAACAACAAACACAAAAGCCTTTGTAGAAGTTACACTTTTCATTACTGGCACGATGACAGCTTGTGTTTCAATGACTAAAACCACAAAACCAAGGCTACGGCTGGGAATGATGGGCGTTGTGTATGTCCACCTGATTGACACAGAAGAAACAGGTGCTGGGATGTGGAGGCACACAACACAGTACATGGGTCGTGGCTTTTATTGTTACTCCTGGATTCTGCTGTAACTCGATCCCATGTAGAAGACAATGAACTCTTGAAGAATAATCGCTAGCATGGGGCCAGCCAGACAACAGGCCAGGTAATCCCTATTGATTATTAGCCACAATGAGTTTACCATTCAATATCACAAGCCCCAGTCCCAACCCAGACACACTGTTGTTTCTCTTATATTCATTATTATACAAAAAAATGTCTTTAAAATGTCTTTCTTGTTCCTTGTGGAGTTTAAAAAGAACAATATAGGGAAATATACGACTGAACAGGAAAAGAAACTAACCTGACCAGTTGTCCAAAAAAGCCATGCCAGGAATGTGGGAGTAAATTGGGGGAGGGTCTGGCTCATGGAAAAGCGTGCTGGAAAATCCAGCTCAAGCAGTTTGCTGTGTTTCGGAACATGACAGCTGGTTTCGGTTCAAACTGGCAGATCATCTTGGACAAGCGACACACTAGCTACCTAACTGATCTGTTCTGACCAGCTGGATATCCAATATCATGTCCTTAAGTTGGAAATTTCAACAGAAAATCAGTTTCCTTACTTCTGGTGAAATTCGTAGATTTGTGGCAGATTGCCGAAGAGAACATCCTTCTTGTTTTCCAAAGACGGTGGGATCAAGTAGATTAGCTCGGGGTCATCCAGTGCAGCGGCATATCCCTGCAGGACACAGACACACAAATAAACACAACCACCAAAACGGTCAAATCACTTCCCCAGATTTTTCACATAACATTTGCATTATTTGCATGCTTCTATTCTTAGCAAATGCTTTTTCAATGTTCTGACAAATCACAAATACTACACTGTAAAAAATATTGTTGGTTTAACTTAAAAAAGTAAGTAACCTGCTTGCCTTAAAATTTTAAGTTGATTGAACTGGTAAAAGTGAGTTAATACAATGAAGGAGATTGATTTAATCATCAGAAACTCAAAATAATAAGTTAAGTTGATTTGACAAAAGAAAAAATGTGATGACAAATCTTGAAAATATTTTTTTTTACAGTGACTCAATTTTTTTTTTTTTTTATGAAATCTGTGAGAGACTGTCATTTATTAAGAGTACAAGTATTTTTTAAGAGGTCTGCATGAGTTAATTACAACAACCTAAAAGATGAAGTGATGATGTGGCCTTTTGAGTAATGTATTTAATACGTTTAATAAATATAAAATCAAATCATATGAGGTCTGTGTGAAAGCTTACATTTTTATGCATTTAAATAATCTGTATGAGATATAGGGTACAGGTATACAGTACACATATAGGATACAGATGTCCGTGTGAAAGTCCATTAAGAGTTGTAATGTTATTTTTTTTAAAGAAGTATCTCGTGCATTAGCATCATTACTTCAGTCTTCAGTGTCACGTGATCCTTCAGAAATCATTCTAATTTGCCAATTTTCTGCTCAAGAAACATTTCTTATTATTATCAATGCTGAAAACAGTTGTGCTGCTAAATATTCTTGTGGAAAATTATGCTTTTTTTTCAGGAATTTCACTTCTGATTTAATGCATTCTTGCAGAATAAAAGTATTAACATGTAAAATACATAAATAAGAATTCTTACAGACCCTAAACATTTGATATGATCTACACAACTTGCAACAAGATAATATCCTGTTTCCGTTCTGATTTTCAAAAGCATGTACCTCTATGATGCTCTGCAGCTCTTCCACGTACAGCCTCTCCGTCTCAATCAATTCATTCATTATGTGACTGTTGAGAAACATGAAAAATACATTAGTATTCGGTCACAAAAAAGGTCAGAACATCGGTGTGACGAGATATTTTTTATGGAAGTTTCACTAACAGGGCTCCCGGAAAACCATCACACTATAAGGGTTGGTAAAAATTTTTTTTGTTGTTTTATATCGCAGAAAATTGTAATTTTTTAAAGCTTAAAATTATATATATATATATATTAGGGCTGTCAAACGATTAATCGTATATATGATTGTGTATATATAAGAAAAATATTATTTATATATAAAATATTTATATTTATATATAATATAAACTATATATAAATCTATATACAGTATATCCATGAAAATATTTCTTAAATATATACAAGCATGTGTGTGTATATACAAAATAATTAAACACAGTGCACCCACATATATTATGTAAACACAAACTTTTATTTTGGATGCGATTAATCACGATTAATTGTTTGACATATATATATATATATATATAAACTAGATAAAAGCTTTATTTATTTTTTTAGCTTATTTTTTTCATAAGCTAAAAATCTCTGATAAAGGCTGTTCCACTTAACCCTTTGGTATTTACCACTATCAAGCAAAAAGGCAGCTCGCTTTCAATCTTTGTGTCAACAGTGGACGCTAACACACTCATCTAATTTGTTGTCTACACCCTAAAATGAAATATTGACATTTTATAAAATTTCCCATAACATGCAGTGCTAAAAATGACTCTAGGTATCAGATCTCAATTAGTCTTAACTAGTTCTCCTCTAACACAGACCAAGGCCAATGAATCACATTTATTGTGCTGAGGTGCAGCCTTGCTTATGTGAATCAGATGACCCGAATTCCATGTTTCTGTCAGAGTTGTCTCGCTTTTCACAGTTTGTTCATATGATAAAGTTGCCAATGTTTAAAAAGAGGGTTGTACTTTCCCCCTCCCGCCCATCAGGAAACACTCCTGCCCAAATGCTCCACTAGTAGCTACACACTTCTTCTTTCAATACCGCTGTAACAATACTACTGAAATCCAGGGCTTTAAAACAAAGACTTCTGTATATTTTACTACATCATGGATGGGCCACGCTCTCAATGGTAAGTCCTATATATTTTTGCAGTTCATTATAGTTTCTGCCTGGAGTTTTTTTCAGAAAACAACTAAAAGATTTAACTTCTAGAAGCCAAAATGTTTTTTTCCACTGGTATGTCAAGCCTTAGAGACCTCATGCTAAATTTACACTGTAACTGTGGAGTATTGAGTATTGAGTTTCACATGCAAAAACGTATGAGAGCGCCAAGCCCTTTAAACATGCTGTCCGCCTCATATGATTATTATCTAATAAAATTAACCTTTGCTTGGGCTGTTTTTCCAATGAGTCTCTTTGGGAGTTATCTCAATTATTTTTAATGACATTTAACCTTTAAGAAAAATTCAAGCAATCCTAATGTTACATCAGAGAAATAGCCTATTTTTAGAGATGAGTAACCAATGTTAAATAGAGTTGAACAGGCTGTGAAGATTAAAAGGCATAAAAGCACAATTCAGTGTTGAAACGATTGAATTAATTCACAGAGAATGAGCCTGTTAGAATAAGGAAACCAGTTTTACTTCCTATAATATACAGGTATATTATATATAAAGCAGAGATGTGTTGAAATCTACATACGCTTTTTTAATGTATAACTTTACTGTTGTAATCCTTGATTGCGCAAAAAGAGCTGTAATACATTTAATGTAATGCATTTTTAGGCAAGTTTGGATCAAAATGAAGGGGAAAAAAATATGATGGATAGTCTTTTGCTAAAGTAAATAATTGCACAGGCCGGCTGTTGTGAGAAGGTGATCTAGTTTGACAGACGAACCCGGCTGCTCCAGGCTCACATGAGTTTCGGGTGTGTGACATTATTATGAGTTTCATTGTTGCCGTGTCGCGCCTTTGAGTAGATTTGCTGCAGTAATGATCTTTTCGTGGTCGTGAATGTTTTGTACAGCACTCAGCAGATCAGCGCGTTCGGCAGTTTAAAGCCTTCTTTTATTCAACGTTGCGCTGAGTCGACGATTGCTTTCATTCACAAGATCGATTCGGCGAGTCCCCTTAAGGTTTTGGATAAGCGCTCGCAACAAATGGTGTAAACAGGCAGCATTTGTTAGAGAGGAATGTTGTTTTGAAAGCAAATAGGTGGAATGCCTGCCATATGCTTTTAAAAGAAAAGACAGGCTAAAGCTCTTTTGAAACAGTGATAAAATATTCAGTAACACTTTGTAATAAAGTCAGCTTGTTAACATTAGATTATGTATTAACTAACATGAACTAACAGAGCATTACATTTGTTACGGTTAATGTTAGTTAATAAAAAAAATTGCCGATTGCATATTCAACTTTTGATTTTAATAATAATGTTTAAGTAAACATTGAAATTAACATTAACTTACATGCTGTTTTTTAGTATTGTTCATTAGTTCATGTTAACTAAAGTAAAACCTTATTGTAAAGTGTTACCAAATATCTTAATAATATTTCTACACAACCATTCAAATGTACGAATTTTATATGAATAATTTTATTCAGCTAGGGCGCATTGAAATTGATCAAAAGTGACAATAAAGACAAAATATTTCTATTTGAACTTTCTATCTATCAAAAAATGTATCACAGTTTCCACAAAAAATATGTAAACTGATAATAATAATTTATAATAATAATATTAACAAGAATAAATGTTTCTTGAGCACCAAAATCAGCATATTCGAATTTCTGAAGGATCACGTGACTCTGAAGACTGAAAATGATGCTGAAAATTCAGCTTGGTATCATAAACTATGAACTATTTATGTATTTTTATTATTATTAATACAAGTAAAACATGCAAGATCATCTACACAAATTATACGCAGACAACCAATTGGCAATTTAATGCAGATATTTGTAATGATTTCCATTACACGGGAATTGATGTTAAAACTTCATGCTGATTTGTACTCGCTTTCGCCAAGATAAGCACAAACTAAGACGTAGCTTTACAGTAAACTTCTCCATTCATTTATGCTTCTTTCCATATGGTGATGTGACTCCCCTTCTGTCCGGCGTTAAGGGATACTCCACTTTTTTTGTAAATAGGCTCATTTTACAACTCCCCCAGAGTTAAACAGTTGGGTTTTACCGTTTTCGAATCCATTCAGCCGATTTTCTGATATGTAGAAGAATATCAGTAACCAGACAGTTTCTGGTCTCATTGACTACCATAAAATATATTTTTTCCTACAATAGTAGTCAATGAGACCAGAAACTGTCTGGTTACTGATATTCTTCTAAATATCTGAAAATCGGCTGAATGGATTCGAAAACGGTAAAACACAACTGTTTAAATTCTGGGGAAGTTGTAAAATTAGCCTATTTACAAAAAAAGTGGAGTATCCCTTTAACGGCTGCAGTGTAGTTGGTGCGTCAGCACACACGATGGCTGCAACTACAGTGTGGTCTCCCTAGTGGACCAGCACAACAACCGTCTGGATTGAGCCGAGTAGGGGACATCTCTAGGGTCTTCAAGTGGGCAACTTCCATCCTCAGTGTTTCGTCGCCTAGCCCACGGCACCTCAAGAGGGCTCGACAGTGACTCTGGCGTGCCAGCCCAGCTAACTGACCTTTACATCCCTCCTGCTGCTGAGGTTTCTCCTTCCTCGTAGCTCACATGTGACCTAACCACAATCTCTCAATCTCTCCGCAACCCAACCGTACGCGCCGCCAACCCATTTGACTAATGCTGTCGAGCCCCACTGTCTTCGTTAAAGTAACGAAGTACATTTATACATAAACTTTATACATTAAATAAGCTATCATCGTCCAGTTTATGAATGGGTGTACTCACACAATGTTTAATGCTCAGTGGCGTGCGAAGTCGACTTGAAAATGAATGCCTTTGCCTGCCTTATTAGACACAGTTCACCAAAGATGCTTTCAGAAATATAGCCTATTAAACACATTTTGGAGAACAGACATTTAATCGTTGTTTGTGTTGGGCATGACATGACTGCGAGCACATGTGAAGAGATTTAACTCTTTCTAATCTGTGTCAATGGTTCCCTTTACATGCCTGTAAATGCAAAACTCCAGAGTCCCTTTAGAATCAACTCCAGAGTCCGACATTGTCTAATAATCCAAATGTAGTTGTATAAGTTACTATACTATTATACAAAGCAAATTTTGTGTTGTGGTTTTCGGGCTTCAGATATAGGCCTAATATATACAGAAATAATGTTTGTCTCTTCTGTTTTTGTTGCAAATATATATAGGCGGCCTATGTGATCCAAAGTAACTAGTAACAAACTACTTGAGTAGTTTTTTTTTTGTCATTGGATACTTTTTTACTCTTACTCAAGTAACTTTTAACATTATTACTTTCAATTTTACGGTCAGTAAATATTTCTATACTTGTACTTTTACTTGAGTACAGTTTTTGGATACTCTACCCACCTCTGCCTACTGCACAATGCAATATTTACTCAAACACCAACCGTCATTCACGGAAAATACACAGGAACGTAGTAAATGTAATTCCTATGCAAACTATGCAAATGAGCCAACACACTCTTTGGGTTTTTCAAGAATTCTAGAAAACCGCAACGGCGGCCTAAAAAGAACTAAGAATAAGGGTTTATGTACACGCTAAAAAAAGCTGGGTTGTTTTAACCCAACGTTGGGTCAAATATGGACAAACCCAGCCATTGAGTTACATTTTTAATTTCATTTTTAACCCAACGTTTGGGTTTCTCCATGTTTGACCCAAAGTTGGGTTAAAACAACCCAGCATTTTTAGAGTGTACAGTAGCTTACTGTAAATCATAATTATATGCAATCCTTTTGAAATAATCATTCTTCTTTCTTTACAGAACACAAATGCGGCATTAATGCAATACAGTGGATTGTCTTCGCATCGAAAGCAAATAACGACAGACGTTTTTTGCAAAAAGAAGTTTAAGAAAAAAAGACACAAAATGTTCAGGGTTAA